TGATTAATTATTATTTTCCCGTAGGGACTACGTACTAGTTGAGTAACAAGAATAATACCTCGAATAATGCTTCAGCAAGCATGACTATCCGAGAAATGCCGGCACGTGTTCCAGGCTCCTCTGCTGATGAACTGGAAAGGCATGAGCATGAGCCACCAGTATGGATACCTCTAGGGCAGGCTGCAGTTGAATGGTCGGTTGAATCAAGACCTCCACCAAGTCTTTCCCAAATCTGGGTTGATTGTGCAATTTGTAAGTACCAGGCAGAATGCAGATTTAAGCAATTACAACATATTCATATGTCCTATGCCTTCAGCAGAATTTATGGAGCTTTCCAAGGTAAGAAATGAGCTCTTTCAAAGAAAGAAATGATCTGGGATGCAAGGAGATTAGTCATTAACAAAATTGAACCTTTTTTTCCAAAACACATGCATGCTTACATACATACCTTCAGTTGGATATACGGTGGATAAACAAGCATAATGTTGAAAAGGAAAAAATAATCAAGAGAATAACAATAAGACCCATAAGCATTCAAGAAAAGAACAGCCTAAAATTTAAAACAATAAGACCCATGAAGAAGAAGAAGAAGAAGAATCTGTACCTCAGATCTCGAATTCCATCTTTGCTCATTACTGCTTGGAGTTCTACTATCACGAGGACTAAAATCTCCACCAACTTCATCATTAAGGGAACCACCACTTAAATCAAGGAGGCATCTGTCATGAGGTCTCACATTATCAGAATCTGCTGATGAGAACGAAAATGTTCTGGAATCTGTATGACCCCTAGAATTGCGTCTTGCGAAAGCATCCCAAAATAACCTCCTGCTATTCCTTCTCGCTTCTCGACTGCTTGTTTCAGCAGAATTAGACTGTAATATATTTGAGGATATACTCACCACATCAACATGCAATAGACTCCGGTCTTGTCTACTTTGTTCCATGTCCGACACCAAAAACCCTAAACCTGATGTTGTTACGTCCTGAAGGGTATCATCCCTCAGCAAACGGAAGTCAACAGGTGAACTGGTAACAACAGAAGAAGTACAAAAATCAGAATTAGAGCAATCAACTTCTTCAAGGGCATTATTTCCAACAGAAGCTTCGTCCAATGAAGGTACCCTGTGACCTTGACATATGCTGCTTGAATTTTTTAGTTTATCACCAACTTTAGGAAACCCATTCATGTTGCAACTGTTTGCAGAAACACGAGAAGAAGACGACGGCTGATCTACGTACGAAGTGCTAGCATTTTCGTAAAATCTGGAACTGCTGGTGGATTGGTATGGAAGAATCAACTCTCTACTTTCAGACAAACATTTACCTTTGTTTGCAGAGTCGACATTTCTCACACCACTTTCTGGAGCATCATTCTCATGGGCAGCCGAATATCTTTTAGATGAGACCACATTTTCACTTCTAATGGTAATCAAATCATTCCTGTTTCCCAAGGATAAATCAGAATTTTTTCTTTGGAATCTCAACTTCTGTCCACATTCATGTTCATCAGTATGTACCAGCAATTCAGCTGGATAATCTTCTATCTACAGGAATCAAATGACAATGGATGGAATTAACACCTACATTACCTATTCTGGTTAGGAAGTACATTAAACTTAAACAAGACGTGTAATGACATAAATCAGGTAGACAAACGCATCAGTGAATTCTTATAGGATAAAACAGAAAAGAGGTCATGCAAATAAGAAGATTATCATACTTCATGAAATCAAAGACACGATAAGAAAATTTTTGCTCCTAGACCTTCCACAATATATGGATCCTGGCTTATTTATATGTAGTAATGTGATGTACGAACTCAAGGCTGGCTAAATATTAACTAGATGAGCAGACTTCACCATATCTGCATATTCACAGACATAAAAAATAAAACCTTATGATCGAAAGCACAATCGCACCCTAAAACTTATTTATGAGTCTAAAACAATAAATAATAGCCTCATCAAAGAATGGCACACCATTCCAGCATCATACTCTGTTTTCAACAGCCAGACATGTCACTTTCCCAAACTTTCTTCAAATGTATTGCAGTCTATGGCAAGATATATGAAGGAATCACTGGATGTAGAGAAAACCATCATCACTTATGTCTATGATATTATAATTTTTTATTATTCGGTTTCATTGACCCTTCTTCCAAATCAAACAATGACATCTGTAGATGACCTATTTCATCTACTGCACCTTCCATTATAGTTTGGACATTCTTTAAGTGGAACCAGCTGAGTATATAGGGAGGAAAAAAAAGGAAAGAACACTGATCATCTAACACAGACTAATGGTGTCATAAATACGTCAAATGTCAACTTAGGTTTTACTCTTAATCGACTGGAGAATTTTTTACCATTTCCATCACAGGGAAGTAATTCTCGTGTCTCTGTTTTCATTGAACCGAACATAATTTACTGATAATTTTTCTTGTTTACGAAAGGAACCAACGTGTGTGTGGGTGGGTTTTGGGGGCTCCTCGTTTGTGTTGCGTTATTCGCGCATGCACACAAGCACAAAGGACTGGACAATGAGATGGAAAGAAACATAACATACCCACAGACACAAGTCAAGCAAGCAATGGGCAATGAGATGCAAAGAAATTGATGTACAGTGACAATCGATGCCATATATGTCCGAAATTCACGTCGTCGAATATTGAAACATAGCAGCCCCCAAAGCCAGAAAAGGGCGAGCTATTGAGATGAATCAAATAACATATTTAGTGGAGACACAAAATTAGGGGAGGAAGGAATGCAAACTGAAAGCATACGTATGAAAAGTAAAAATTGAATCCTATATAGTTCATCAATCGACCGCCATTTTCATACCTCACGAGATGAGGAGGTGGCACCACAGACGAGAAAAGAGGAGAGAGCGCGCCTGATCGACGGGCGACGGCGTCGGTGGGGCCCAGCCCGAGGAGAAGAGCAGGGGCGGCTAATACTCGAGCCCATCCGTCGACTTTTCTCCTTTTTTTCTCTTCTCCGGTGAGAAGAGCAGGGGCGGCTAATAATGATCGGCTAATATCCACGCATTGTATGGCGATGGCGATGGTGAGAATTTGAAAGAAAGAAAAAAATGGTGAAAATAATAATAATAATGGAGATTGGATTGGAGGGCCTCTGTTCTCTGTGTGTGTGTGTGGTGTTTGTGTGAAGACACGGCTGAAAGGTGAGGGGTCTGCTAATTTCAAATCTTTTTATTTTATTTTTATTTTTATTCGGACCGGCTGAAAGGTGAGGGGTCTGGTAAGTTCAAATCATGTCTTTTTTTTCTTTTTACCGAACAATAGGAGATTTATCAAAACAAATAATAATAATAATAATAATAATAATAATAATAATAATAATAATAATAATAATAATAATAATTGCATATTGATAACAGTCAGAATTAGTCATACGGGCGCTTGATTGAAAAAAAAGTGTCATGACGACTAGGCTTTGACTTCGCCGTCTAGGGCTTTGACTTCGCCGGCGACAACTCAAATTCCACCGGACGATTTGAAATCTGATCCACCCGACAAGCGGCGCTCGGTTTTCCCGTCACTGAAGAGATCACGGCTCGTCGATGGGCCCAATGGGGATGATGAGGAATCGCGCCAGGAGGAACCGCGGGCGGCTGCCACAGAGGGGATGCCAAGCTTCAGGGACATGCTTAATCGGAGTCCGGCCCACGTTGAGATGGTCTATGATGATGATAGTGAGTGTGGGGAGGACGAGGTGGTTATTGACCGCCTAGGGCCGCTCCCGGATATTCGTTTCAAGAAGAGCTTTTATGACCAACTTCTGCTCTCGTGGCGGCATGTTGTTGTGGTCAAAGTGATGGGTACGGTGGTATCACACCAGTTGTTGTACAACAAACTGTGCTCGCTTTGGCCTTTTATGAGTGGATGCGATATGATTGATTTAGAGAATGGTTACTTTCAAATCCGTTTCAATACTAAGGAGGACGCGGAACACGTACTCGTCAGGGGCCCTTGGGTAGTGTCGAAACAATATCAAA